ATCTTGTTCTTTGATTGTTTTATTTGTTTTTATGTGTCACTGTACAGCAATTTGGCTACCCTTGTGGTTCTTTTAAATGTGCTATAGAAATAAAGTTGATTGATTGATTGATTTTTTTTTTTTGGTTTTCTTTCTTTCTTTATTTTTTTTTGAGATCTCTTTTTGAAGAGTTTTTTTTTTTTTTTAAAGTACTTCCTTACTTCGAGGAAGTTACTTCTTCTTCCACTTCTCAGGCTTTCTTAACCCCAAGAAGTGTCTTGTTTGTTTCCAGACTGAAGAAGGTGGTTTGGTGGCATTAGAGGTTGGTGTCTCTGCTGGTCCTGCTGTTCCAACTAGTTCTGGAGATCCAGCAGTCACTTCGATTTCTAAAGCTCCTGCCAGTTCTTCAGCTCCAGAAGTTTCTGCAGTTTTCTCCAACTCCATGCAAAACTGCTCGATGTCCATGTCCATGAAGTCCTGCTCCTGAAGCGTCATCTCACTTTGCCTGATGCCTGTCTCTCGAAGTTGAAGCTCAGTTGAGAGTTCATTTGTTTTTTTGTTTTTTTCATTGTTAAAGCTGGTTTCTTGGGCCACTTTAAGCTCCTTGTTGTCCATCATACCGGCTGTCTGGATGTAGAGCTGTTGTTTCAGCTCCTCCAGCTCAGCCCAGTGCCTCCTCTCTGTTTCAAAAGCTGCCTGCTGCAGAACAGCAATCTTCTCCGTCATGGAGTCCTGTTCGGCTCTCAGGATCTGGATGGTCTGTTCCTGTAAGAGTCCATCATGGTGAGCCTGATTTTGCAGCTCACGCTGAAGGGTCTCAACTTCCTGTTTCGCAGCAGTGAGATCAGTTGCATACTGGAATTTCAGTGCTTGGTATGAGGTTCTTGTCTTCTCCTGTTCTTCATGGAGGACCGTGTTTCTTTCAGTCAGTTCCTGGACTTGTGTTGTGAGCCTCTCATTTTCCACAATATGTGCCACCTTCAGCTCCTCGTAATCGACATGAAGATCCTTCTTCTTCTTCTGCCGGCTCGTGTCCCTCACCTTAAGAGCAATTCTGTGTTTGGAGAGGGTCTCCTCTGAGCTGTACTTTTGAAGCATCTGCAGCTCCTTTTTGAGCTCCTTCCCTTTGTTAATGTACACTTCCTTGAGAGCCCTTTGCCTGGTCAGCTTCTGATGAATCACCTCCAACTCCTGGCTGAGCAAGAGTGTTCGGTTCTTCTCTCTCTCCAGCTGTCCAGTGAGCCTCTGTTGAGTCACCTCCAACTCCTGGCTGAGCAAGAGTGTTCGGTTCTTCTCACTCTCCAGCTGTCCAGTGAGCTGAGCCACAGTCCTGCGGAGTGTCTCCATCTCTCTGTCCCTCAAGTAGAAGGGCCTGTTAATCCTGGGTCGGTTTGTTGGTCGCTGCATTGTCTTTGACTGTTTGTAGTCTCAGAGTTCCGCTGCTAAAAGATTTCGATTGTCTCTTTCTTTAAGTGTAGCTACTCGCTGAAAGGTTCAAACAATACCCTGGACAGCTGCTCTACTTCCAGTTAGTAACACGAGATGAAAGCCATGATGATGTCATAATGATGTCATCACGGAATTGTTCCTTTGATGCCATATTCTCTTGTTGTTTGTTTACATTTGAATTTTTCACATTTAAATGTAAAAAAAAAAGCACACCCTATAACAATCATGTATTTTTCAAACCTGCTGTTAACCCACATTGATTTGAGCTGTTTTTGTAATAGATGCTTTATGAATTGATATGTATTGATGGGTTAAATAAGAAAACTTAGTATGACACACCAGCTGTTAAACTGAACTTTACAGACGCCATCTTGCCTGTGTACTTCTGTCCATTGTTGAACCAAAATTAAAAAATAGTTCTCTTTAAATGTACAAATCATATTAACTCATGAAGATAAAGTCATTATTGATTATACATTGCAGATATACTTTCCCCTGAACTCTATATTAATCAGTTATCCAAAAGCTTTTCCTCTGCTGATGAAAAGTGAAAACAAGAGTCCTGCAAGGATTAAAACTGACATGGGCCTACTTAACATGCAAAATTCAGAGAAATTTTAGCACTTTTTGACAACAGCAAGAGTAAATCAGAATTAACTCTCATTGGGACACACAAACCCCTCCACCACGGTAAGGTGGTAGCTCGAGGAGGGGGATAAAAACCCTCCCATGGGACGGAAAACCGCAAGGTTTATTTTATCTTTTGTGTGAAAAACACCGGGTTATGGGTGCTTTTGTTTGTTGTTTTTTAATTTTCTTTCCAGTAGTTTTTTTTTTTTTCCCATGTTGATGTTTTTTTTTTCTTTTTTGTTTTTTCATCAGTTGTCTTAATTTATTTTTGTTTTTGGAGATTTCTTTTTGAAGAGTTTTTTTTTTTTTTTAAGTACTTCCTTACTTCGGGGAAGTTACTTCTTCCACTTCTCAGGCTTTCTTAACCCCAAGAATCAGAAATATTTCTTTTTTGTTTTTTAGTTTTCTTAGGGTGTTTTTTTGTTGTTGTTGTTTTTTTTGTTTTCAGAAATACTCTTCTTTTTCTTTTTTTTAGTTTTCTCTTTTTTCTGCCTGTTTTAAGGGTTTTCGACCTAGGCTCCCTCTCACCCTACCTTAAAGAGGTCGTCACTAATCTGGGAGTTAAATTTGACCCTGATTTTAAATTTGACAAGCAGATCAGCGGGGTGGTACAAAAAAGTTTTTATCAGCTACGCCAAATAGCGAAGGTGAAGCCCATTTTATCAAGACCTGACCTGGAAAAATTAATCCATGCTTTTATCACTACCCGTCTTGATTACTGCAACTCCTTGTACGTAGGGATTAGCCAGGCTTCCCTTGCCCGCCTGCAGCTTATGCAGAACTCTGCTGCACGTCTCCTGACACAGACCCGCAGGCGTGAGCACATCACCCCCATCCTGGCGTCCTTACACTGGCTCCCTGTTCAGTACAGAATTCATTTTAAGCTTTTAGCATTTGTTTTTAAGGGCCTGAACAACCTTGCTCCACCCTATATTTCGGAGATGCTACAGCCTTATTGCCCACCCCGACCCCTAAGATCAGCTGATCAGCTTTTACTGACCGTCCCCAGTACAAGGCTGAAGCTCAGAGGGGACAGAGCATTTGCCGCTGCTGCCCCTAAGCTCTGGAATGAGCTTAGGGGCAGAGCCATGCCAGAGCCACCACTAGCCATAATAAGGAGGGGGTGGGTGAGGGTGGGAGGGTTACTCAGTTCACTTATTTATGCTTTTTAGGGTGCTGCACATTACATGGTACTGTTTCCAAGCTAAGCCTGAACTGCTTTTCACAAACTTTGAGAAAGTCAACTGGCCAAACAGTCTTCCTTAAATTCCTTCAGAGTATGGGTCATCAGCTGTACACACAGAATATATATACTCTTCATGTAAACACGTAGAAAGAGTCAAACTCGCTAACTGCATTACTTTGAGTCAATAACATCCAGAATATTTTCTTACAATAAGAGACTGAACTTCTGTCAGGCATATTTCTGGTGGATTGCCTTAAAATTATCAGTATAAAATGCTCTTATCTCTTTAGATGAACATAAATGCCAGCAAAATACAGATGTGGTTAATCTAATCCCAGTCCCAGTTTTGGTCAAACAGAAAAAAACTTCACAGGCTGTGAACTTTAAGAAGAAATCACACCAAATGCAGTGCCAGGGTGCCTCCAAACAGGCAAAGTGCAGACTGAGAGCTGTTCAAAGTCAAAAGCTGCATTTCTTTTCATAAAGGAGATCACATTCCTGATTTATGACATCTGCTGATCCTTTCCTGCTATTTAACACTAGATGTCTTTTCTTTGGGTCTTTTTTAGCAGAGAAAAACATCCCTCAACATTAGCTTGATCGATTCTTCGCTCTTTTTTTTTCTTTACATTAATAAATAGGATGTCATTTTAGGTCCACTCTTGACAGGGTAAGCAGCCTGAAAAAGCACCGACGTCTTGTCCGACTTGCTTCCAATGACTTTGACCGGCCTGGTATTCTCATGCTGGGTACAAACGGGGCACCACCCGGGCAGTTCTCCTGGACAGCGGGAAGACTCGTGTTTCCCTTCAGCACCATCGTTTCATGAGTCCCCCAGAGTTAAAGACCGGGAGCCCGACTTTCCAACAGCACAAACTCCTCCATCCACTTTTAACCTCTTCTTTTTCAAACACAGCCCCGGGTTAGAAGCTAGCGAATGCTGCAGTCGCTTGGACTCCATATGCATCGTCCTTCTGTCCGCCCTCCTCCTCCTCCTCCTCCTCTTCCTCTAGGCGTCTTGACACGGGACCAGAGAATGTGAAGCCCCGCATAGCCCCTGCTGACACTTGCTTTTCAGCGCCATAACCGCTCAAAAGTCTTTGGACAGTCAACTCACATGTTTCGTCTAGTTCCCCGAACATGAAATCCCAAAGGTAGCCGAGGAAAGGGCCGTTATTCCCGGGGATTCAAAGTCGTGCTGCGCGCTCCCGCTGCAGTATGAGGAAGCAGGGAGGGTGTGGTCGGAGCTGAACGGCTGCTGGACTGGCTGAAGTTCCAGGAAGGGAACGGCACAACTGACCCTTCGCCGAAATTTCACTTCCCGGCGGTCAGTGAAGAAGTTTCTTTCTCATGTTAACGACGGAGGTTTATTTCCCGGTGTTACCTCATATTCTTCCATAACTGCAGGACAGAAATCCAAAAGTCTCGTGATAATGTTTTTCTGCCCTAAAAATGTTTCTGTTCACATTTATTTGATTAAACGCTCATTCCAGTCATATTGTTCTTTTTTTTTTTTTAACAAATGTTGAACTTGCAACTGACTTCACCTTAATCCATGTCATCTCCATTCTGTGATAGATAGATAGATAGATAGATAGATAGATAGATAGATAGATAGATCTGACTAAAAAAAGAACAAAAAACAGTCTATTATATAGACCACATTAAAATCCAAATAATAATACCATATCATTATCAAAATAAAGAACATTTATTTCACATTAATTCATACTTATTCTAAATTGTTATAAACTCATCATTCCTCAGTTTTTACTCCAGACAAAATAAGAGCTTTGGTTTCACAAATGTAGTGCCGCTGGCCTCGACAGACAACATCATCCCAGGAGTTCAGCCAGCCTTTCTGTCCAACAGTCTTTGGAGGGACAATGACAACACAGTCCTGTCCTGCACGGTCTTTGTCCCATTGAGCCGCAGCATTGTTTGGCTCTCCAGGCATCCAGAACTTCAAATCTGACTTGGACTTGATACCATTTACCCACACAAATCTGTTATCCTGCACCATGTCCTGCAACCCGATCCATGCTGAATGGAACAGTACATTTGGATGCTGCTGTGTAAACTGGAAAGTCATGTTGGTCAGAAATGCCTGGTCTGCAGCATTCAAGACAACAGCCAGGTCAGCACCTTCATTAAAACACTCCCTACGAGCATCTTCCCACTTCATTGGTTGTGATGCCAAATGGAAGCAGCGTGTGGCGTGCTCAGCCCAACCAGGAAGGCAGCGTGAACATTGCAGGGTGCCTTTATCACAGAATCTCCAGAGGAAAGATAGTTTCTCCGACATCAGAATTGATTGTTGACGTTGATTTTCAGCTTTTAGTTGAGTTGAGGTCTGCCTTTCATTGATCAAAAGCTGTTGATATTTGATTTTGTCTTTTCTGAAAGAGTCACGGTTTTCCATAGTAGAATTCAATATGATTTTCATCTCCTCAATCTGCACTTGAAGCTGTGACTTTTCTGCCATGGTGTGGTTAAGTCTTCGGCTCAGTCTCTGATTTTCTTCCATGGAGTAGCTCAGACTCAGGCTCAGTTTTTGATTTTCTTCCTTGGTGCTGTTCAGACTCAGGCTCAGGTTCAGATTCTCTTCCATGGTGTAGTTCAGACTCAGCCTCAGTTTTTGATTTTCTTCCTTGGTGTGGTTTAATCTTTGGCTCAGATTCAGATTTTCTTCCATGGTGTAGTTTAGTCTTCTGCTCAATTTCTGATTTTCTTCCATGGTGTTGTTCCATCAGGGTGTTGTTCAGACTCAGGCTCAGGTTCAGATTCTCCTCCATGGTGTAGTTCAGACTCAGCCTCAGTTTTTGATTTTCTTCCACGGTGAAGTTCAGACTCTGGCTCACTTTTTGATTTACTTCCATGGTGTGGTTTAGTCTTCGGCTCAGTCTCTGATTTTCTTCCATGGAGTAGCTCAGACTCAGGCTCAGTTTTTGATTTTCTTCCTTGGTGTGGTTGAGTCTTCGGCTCAGTTTCAGATTATCTTCCATGGTGTAGTTCAGACTCAGGCTCAATTTCTGATTATCTTCCATGGTGTAGTTTAGTCTTCTGCTCAATTCCTGATTTTCTTCCATGGTGTTGTTCAGACTCAGGCTCAGGTTCAGATTCTCTTCCATGGTGTAGTTCAGACTCAGCCTCAGTTTTTGATTTTCTTCCATGGTGTTGTTCAGACTCAGGCTCAGGTTCAGATTCTCTTCCATGGTGTAGTTCAGACTCAGGCTCAATTTCTGATTTTCTTCCATGGTGTAGTTTAGTCTTCTGCTCAATTTCTGATTTTCTTCCATGGTGTTGTTCAGACTCAGGCTCAGGTTCAGATTCTCCTCCATGGTGTAGTTCAGACTCAGCCTCAGTTTTTGATTTTCTTCCACGGTGAAGTTCAGACTCTGGCTCACTTTTTGATTTACTTCCATGGTGTGGTTCAGTCCCATGTGTGTTGATTCTAGAAGCTGTCTCAGCTGACTCCTTTCTTTCTGTAACTGCTTAACATTGATGCTCAGGCCAACAATGACAGTGATTAGGACTAAAAGCAGCACCAGGAAAACGACATGAAGAGTGCCTATCCAGCCAGATTGAAGTCTCTGTATGATTCGGTTATCAATCTCCTTTTTCTCTGTCTCATCTTGATCTGGTCTGTCTTGAAGTCTCTGTATGATGCTGTTATCAATCTCCGTTTTCTCCGTCTCATCTTGATCTGGTCTGTCTTGAGCCATTTCCTCCACAGAGCTTTCAGATGGGAAGCTAAAAGAAAAAGATGAGAAGCACTGAAGATCTTGTTGTAAAGGGTCTGAAAGCTAAGTCTTTCTGTACAATATCTGTCATTCACAAACTGATGTGCACAAATCTGAGACATGATAAATATTGGAAAATTCCAAATACTCTCATTCTCTGAGTCGTCTGAATGAGCTGTATGAATGTCAGCAGTTCTGACCCGACCCAAACTGTTGGTATCTACACAAACAGAGCCTTAACCTCCAAACACATGACTTCATTTCAATAAAGTTAGGGCGCTGTGTACATACTTTATTTCAGTCTGTTAGTATATGACACATTCAATACAAACAAGGAAAAATTTTCATGTGAATGAAAAGGAGCAGAAAGAAAAAGGTTGAGGCGCGGTTTTATAGAAACACCTTCACACAGGGACCCCTTGAACCGTTTTTTTCTCCTTACCTTAGGTGGACGTGCTGTGGATCCGTCATTTCGCCGTGGGTTTCCTCTGACATGTTTTCCATCTTTGCTTTTCGCTTTCTTCCACGTTTTTACCAGTAGGTCTATGTTTCACTTTGAAATATCCAACTTCAGTTTTTTAAAACTAAACAGTTGATTCAGTTGCCATGACAGCCACTGCAGAGTCGTATTTTTAAATAATTTTAAATAATTTAATACTAATGATTATTAGTATAGTAGAGGCACCTGAACAGCAGCAGAAATAGCCTTGGTTGTGTATAAATCTTTACATTAAGTGTAGCTACTCGCTGAAAGGTTCAAACGATACCCTGGACAGCTGCTCTACTTCCAGTTAGTAACACGAGATGAAAGCCGTGATGATGTCATAATGATGTCATCACGGAATTGTTCCTTTGATGCCATATTCTCTTGTTGTTTGTTTACATTTGAATTTTTCACATTTAAATGTAAAAAAAAAAGCACACCCTATAACAATCATGTATTTTTCAAACCTGCTGTTAACCCACATTGATTTGAGCTGTTTTTGTAATAGATGCTTTATGAATTGATATGTATTGATGGGTTAAATAAGAAAACTTAGTATGACACACCAGCTGTTAAACTGAACTTTACAGACGCCATCTTGCCTGTGTACTTCTGTCCATTGTTGAACCAAAATTAAAAAATAGTTCTCTTTAAATGTACAAATCATATTTACTCATGAAGATAAAGTCATTATTGATTATACATTGCAGATATACTTTCCCCTGAACTCTATATTAATCAGTTATCCAAAAGCTTTTCCTCTGCTGATGAAAAGTGAAAACAAGAGTCCTGCAAGGATTAAAACTGACATGGGCCTACTTAACATGCGAAATTCAGAGAAATTTTAGCACTTTTTGACAACAGCAAGAGTAAATCAGAATTAACTCTCATTGGGACACACAAACCCCTCCACCACGGTAAGGTGGTAGCTCGAGGAGGGGGATAAAAACCCTCCCATGGGACGGAAAACCGCAAGGTTTATTTTATCTTTTGTGTGAAAAACACCGGGTTATGGGTGCTTTTGTTTGTTGTTTTTTAATTTTCTTTCCAGTAGTTTTTTTTTTTTTTTTTTAGAATTTTTTTTTTTTTTCCCATGTTGATGTTTTTTTTTTCTTTTTTGTTTTTTCATCAGTTGTCTTAATTTATTTTTGTTTTTGGAGATTTCTTTTTGAAGAGTTTTTTTTTTTTTAAGTACTTCCTTACTTACTTCTTCCACTTCTCAGGCTTTCTTAATCCCAAGAATCAGAAACATTTCTTTTTTGTTTTTTAGTTTTCTTAGGGTGTTTTTTTGTTGTTGTTTTTTTTTTTTTTCAGAAATACTCTTCTTTTTCTTTTTTTTAGTTTTCTCTTTTTTCTGCCTGTTTTAAGGGTTTTCGACCTAGGCTCCCTCTCACCCTACCTTAAAGAGGTCGTCACTAATCTGGGAGTTAAATTTGACCCTGATTTTAAATTTGACAAGCAGATCAGCGGGGTGGTACAAAAAAGTTTTTATCAGCTACGCCAAATAGCGAAGGTGAAGCCCATTTTATCAAGACCTGACCTGGAAAAATTAATCCATGCTTTTATCACTACCCGTCTTGATTACTGCAACTCCTTGTACGTAGGGATTAGCCAGGCTTCCCTTGCCCGCCTGCAGCTTATGCAGAACTCTGCTGCACGTCTCCTGACACAGACCCGCAGGCGTGAGCACATCACCCCCATCCTGGCGTCCTTACACTGGCTCCCTGTTCAGTACAGAATTCATTTTAAGCTTTTAGCATTTGTTTTTAAGGGCCTGAACAACCTTGCTCCACCCTATATTTCGGAGATGCTACAGCCTTATTGCCCACCCCGACCCCTAAGCTCACCTGATCAGCCTTTACTGACCGCCCCCAGTACAAGGCTGAAGCTCAGAGGGGACAGAGCATTTGCCGCTGCTGCCCCTAAGCTCTGGAATGAGTTGCCCTTGAAAATTAGACAGGCCTCCTCATTTTCTGTTTTTAAATCCCTTTTAAAAACGTACTTTTACTCATTGGCTTTTAGTACATTGTAGTGTTAATTTGTTTTTTATCATCTTAGCACTTGCCGTGAGCCTCCTTATTTATACACTTATTTATTCTTTTGCATTACTGTATTTCTGCTTGCTTTATCTTGTTCTTTGATTGTTTTATTTGTTTTTATGTGTCACTGTACAGCAATTTGGCTACCCTTGTGGTTGTTTTAAATGTGCTATAGAAATAAAGTTGATTGATTGATTGATTTTTTTTTTTTTTGGTTTTCTTTCTTTCTTTATTTTTTTTTTGAGATCTCTTTTTGAAGAGTTTTTTTTTTTTTAAAGTACTTCCTTACTTCGAGGAAGTTACTTCTTCTTCCACTTCTCAGGCTTTCTTAACCCCAAGAAGTGTCTTGTTTGTTTCCAGACTGAAGAAGGTGGTTTGGTGGCATTAGAGGTTGGTGTCTCTGCTGGTCCTGCTGTTCCAACTAGTTCTGGAGATCCAGCAGTCACTTCGATTTCTAAAGCTCCTGCCAGTTCTTCAGCTCCAGAAGTTTCTGCAGTTTTCTCCAACTCCATGCAAAACTGCTCGATGTCCATGTCCATGAAGTCCTGCTCCTGAAGCGTCATCTCACTTTGCCTGATGCCTGTCTCTCGAAGTTGAAGCTCAGTTGAGAGTTCATTTGTTTTTTTGTTTTTTTCATTGTTAAAGCTGGTTTCTTGGGCCACTTTAAGCTCCTTGTTGTCCATCATACCGGCTGTCTGGATGTAGAGCTGTTGTTTCAGCTCCTCCAGCTCAGCCCAGTGCCTCCTCTCTGTTTCAAAAGCTGCCTGCTGCAGAACAGCAATCTTCTCCGTCATGGAGTCCTGTTCGGCTCTCAGGATCTGGATGGTCTGTTCCTGTAAGAGTCCATCATGGTGAGCCTGATTTTGCAGCTCACGCTGAAGGGTCTCAACTTCCTGTTTCGCAGCAGTGAGATCAGTTGCATACTGGAATTTCAGTGCTTGGTATGAGGTTCTTGTCTTCTCCTGTTCTTCATGGAGGACCGTGTTTCTTTCAGTCAGTTCCTGGACTTGTGTTGTGAGCCTCTCATTTTCCACAATATGTGCCACCTTCAGCTCCTCGTAATCGACATGAAGATCCTTCTTCTTCTTCTGCCGGCTCGTGTCCCTCACCTTAAGAGCAATTCTGTGTTTGGAGAGGGTCTCCTCTGAGCTGTACTTTTGAAGCATCTGCAGCTCCTTTTTGAGCTCCTTCCCTTTGTTAATGTACACTTCCTTGAGAGCCCTTTGCCTGGTCAGCTTCTGATGAATCACCTCCAACTCCTGGCTGAGCAAGAGTGTTCGGTTCTTCTCTCTCTCCAGCTGTCCAGTGAGCCTCTGTTGAGTCACCTCCAACTCCTGGCTGAGCAAGAGTGTTCGGTTCTTCTCACTCTCCAGCTGTCCAGTGAGCTGAGCCACAGTCCTGCGGAGTGTCTCCATCTCTCTGTCCCTCAAGTAGAAGGGCCTGTTAATCCTGGGTCGGTTTGTTGGTCGCTGCATTGTCTTTGACTGTTTGTAGTCTCAGAGTTCCGCTGCTAAAAGATTTCGATTGTCTCTTTCTTTAAGTGTAGCTACTCGCTGAAAGGTTCAAACGATACCCTGGACAGCTGCTCTACTTCCAGTTAGTAACACGAGATGAAAGCCATGATGATGTCATAATGATGTCATCACGGAATTGTTCCTTTGATGCAATATTCTCTTGTTGTTTGTTTACATTTGAATTTTTCACATTTAAATGTAAAAAAAAAAGCACACCCTATAACAATCATGTATTTTTCAAACCTGCTGTTAACCCACATTGATTTGAGCTGTTTTTGTAATAGATGCTTTATGAATTGATATGTATTGATGGGTTAAATAAGAAAACTTAGTATGACACACCAGCTGTTAAACTGAACTTTACAGACGCCATCTTGCCTGTGTACTTCTGTCCATTGTTGAACCAAAATTAAAAAATAGTTCTCTTTAAATGTACAAATCATATTAACTCATGAAGATAAAGTCATTATTGATTATACATTGCAGATATACTTTCCCCTGAACTCTATATTAATCAGTTATCCAAAAGCTTTTCCTCTGCTGATGAAAAGTGAAAACAAGAGTCCTGCAAGGATTAAAACTGACATGGGCCTACTTAGCATGCGAAATTCAGAGAAATTTTAGCACTTTTTGACAACAGCAAGAGTAAATCAGAATTAACTCTCATTGGGACACACAAACCCCTCCACCACGGTAAGGTGGTAGCTCGAGGAGGGGGATAAAAACCCTCCCATGGGACGGAAAACCGCAAGGTTTATTTTATCTTTTGTGTGAAAAACACCGGGTTATGGGTGCTTTTGTTTGTTGTTTTTTAATTTTCTTTCCAGTAGTTTTTTTTTTTTTTTCCCATGTTGATGTTTTTTTTTTTCTTTTTTGTTTTTTCATCAGTTGTCTTAATTTATTTTTGTTTTTGGAGATTTCTTTTTGAAGAGTTTTTTTTTTTTTTAAGTACTTCCTTACTTCGGGGAAGTTACTTCTTCCACTTCTCAGGCTTTCTTAACCCCAAGAATCAGAAATATTTCTTTTTTGTTTTTTAGTTTTCTTAGGGTGTTTTTTTGTTGTTGTTGTTTTTTTTGTTTTCAGAAATACTCTTCTTTTTCTTTTTTTTAGTTTTCTCTTTTTTCTGCCTGTTTTAAGGGTTTTCGACCTAGGCTCCCTCTCACCCTACCTTAAAGAGGTCGTCACTAATCTGGGAGTTAAATTTGACCCTGATTTTAAATTTGACAAGCAGATCAGCGGGGTGGTACAAAAAAGTTTTTATCAGCTACGCCAAATAGCGAAGGTGAAGCCCATTTTATCAAGACCTGACCTGGAAAAATTAATCCATGCTTTTATCACTACCCGTCTTGATTACTGCAACTCCTTGTACGTAGGGATTAGCCAGGCTTCCCTTGCCCGCCTGCAGCTTATGCAGAACTCTGCTGCACGTCTCCTGACACAGACCCGCAGGCGTGAGCACATCACCCCCATCCTGGCGTCCTTACACTGGCTCCCTGTTCAGTACAGAATTCATTTTAAGCTTTTAGCATTTGTTTTTAAGGGCCTGAACAACCTTGCTCCACCCTATATTTCGGAGATGCTACAGCCTTATTGCCCACCCCGACCCCTAAGATCAGCTGATCAGCTTTTACTGACCGTCCCCAGTACAAGGCTGAAGCTCAGAGGGGACAGAGCATTTGCCGCTGCTGCCCCTAAGCTCTGGAATGAGCTTAGGGGCAGAGCCATGCCAGAGCCACCACTAGCCATAATAAGGAGGGGGTGGGTGAGGGTGGGAGGGTTACTCAGTTCACTTATTTATGCTTTTTAGGGTGCTGCACATTACATGGTACTGTTTCCAAGCTAAGCCTGAACTGCTTTTCACAAACTTTGAGAAAGTCAACTGGCCAAACAGTCTTCCTTAAATTCCTTCAGAGTATGGGTCATCAGCTGTACACACAGAATATATATACTCTTCATGTAAACACGTAGAAAGAGTCAAACTCGCTAACTGCATTACTTTGAGTCAATAACATCCAGAATATTTTCTTACAATAAGAGACTGAACTTCTGTCAGGCATATTTCTGGTGGATTGCCTTAAAATTATCAGTATAAAATGCTCTTATCTCTTTAGATGAACATAAATGCCAGCAAAATACAGATGTGGTTAATCTAATCCCAGTCCCAGTTTTGGTCAAACAGAAAAAAACTTCACAGGCTGTGAACTTTAAGAAGAAATCACACCAAATGCAGTGCCAGGGTGCCTCCAAACAGGCAAAGTGCAGACTGAGAGCTGTTCAAAGTCAAAAGCTGCATTTCTTTTCATAAAGGAGATCACATTCCTGATTTATGACATCTGCTGATCCTTTCCTGCTATTTAACACTAGATGTCTTTTCTTTGGGTCTTTTTTAGCAGAGAAAAACATCCCTCAACATTAGCTTGATCGATTCTTCGCTCTTTTTTTTTCTTTACATTAATAAATAGGATGTCATTTTAGGTCCACTCTTGACAGGGTAAGCAGCCTGAAAAAGCACCGACGTCTTGTCCGACTTGCTTCCAATGACTTTGACCGGCCTGGTATTCTCATGCTGGGTACAAACGGGGCACCACCCGGGCAGTTCTCCTGGACAGCGGGAAGACTCGTGTTTCCCTTCAGCACCATCGTTTCATGAGTCCCCCAGAGTTAAAGACCGGGAGCCCGACTTTCCAACAGCACAAACTCCTCCATCCACTTTTAACCTCTTCTTTTTCAAACACAGCCCCGGGTTAGAAGCTAGCGAATGCTGCAGTCGCTTGGACTCCATATGCATCGTCCTTCTGTCCGCCCTCCTCCTCCTCCTCCTCCTCTTCCTCTAGGCGTCTTGACACGGGACCAGAGAATGTGAAGCCCCGCATAGCCCCTGCTGACACTTGCTTTTCAGCGCCATAACCGCTCAAAAGTCTTTGGACAGTCAACTCACATGTTTCGTCTAGTTCCCCGAACATGAAATCCCAAAGGTAGCCGAGGAAAGGGCCGTTATTCCCGGGGATTCAAAGTCGTGCTGCGCGCTCCCGCTGCAGTATGAGGAAGCAGGGAGGGTGTGGTCGGAGCTGAACGGCTGCTGGACTGGCTGAAGTTCCAGGAAGGGAACGGCACAACTGACCCTTCGCCGAAATTTCACTTCCCGGCGGTCAGTGAAGAAGTTTCTTTCTCATGTTAACGACGGAGGTTTATTTCCCGGTGTTACCTCATATTCTTCCATAACTGCAGGACAGAAATCCAAAAGTCTCGTGATAATGTTTTTCTGCCCTAAAAATGTTTCTGTTCACATTTATTTGATTAAACGCTCATTCCAGTCATATTGTTCTTTTTTTTTTTTTAACAAATGTTGAACTTGCAACTGACTTCACCTTAATCCATGTCATCTCCATTCTGTGATAGATAGATAGATAGATAGATAGATAGATAGATAGATAGATAGATAGATAGATAGATCTGACTAAAAAAAGAACAAAAAACAGTCTATTATATAGACCACATTAAAATCCAAATAATAATACCATATCATTATCAAAATAAAGAACATTTATTTCACATTAATTCATACTTATTCTAAATTGTTATAAACTCATCATTCCTCAGTTTTTACTCCAGACAAAATAAGAGCTTTGGTTTCACAAATGTAGTGCCGCTGGCCTCGACAGACAACATCATCCCAGGAGTTCAGCCAGCCTTTCTGTCCAACAGTCTTTGGAGGGACAATGACAACACAGTCCTGTCCTGCACGGTCTTTGTCCCATTGAGCCGCAGCATTGTTTGGCTCTCCAGGCATCCAGAACTTCAAATCTGACTTGGACTTGATACCATTTACCCACACAAATCTGTTATCCTGCACCATGTCCTGCAACCCGATCCATGCTGAATGGAACAGTACATTTGGATGCTGCTGTGTAAACTGGAAAGTCATGTTGGTCAGAAATGCCTGGTCTGCAGCATTCAAGACAACAGCCAGGTCAGCACCTTCATTAAAACACTCCCTACGAGCATCTTCCCACTTCATTGGTTGTGATGCCAAATGGAAGCAGCGTGTGGCGTGCTCAGCCCAACCAGGAAGGCAGCGTGAACATTGCAGGGTGCCTTTATCACAGAATCTCCAGAGGAAAGATAGTTTCTCCGACATCAGAATTGATTGTTGACGTTGATTTTCAGCTTTTAGTTGAGTTGAGGTCTGCCTTTCATTGATCAAAAGCTGTTGATATTTGATTTTGTCTTTTCTGAAAGAGTCACGGTTTTCCATAGTAGAATTCAATATGATTTTCATCTCCTCAATCTGCACTTGAAGCTGTGACTTTTCTGCCATGGTGTGGTTAAGTCTTCGGCTCAGTCTCTGATTTTCTTCCATGGAGTAGCTCAGACTCAGGCTCAGTTTTTGATTTTCTTCCTTGGTGCTGTTCAGACTCAGGCTCAGGTTCAGATTCTCTTCCATGGTGTAGTTCAGACTCAGCCTCAGTTTTTGATTTTCTTCCTTGGTGTGGTTTAATCTTTGGCTCAGATTCAGATTCTCTTCCATGGTGTAGTTTAGTCTTCTGCTCAATTTCTGATTTTCTTCCATGGTGTTGTTCAGACTCAGGCTCAGGTTCAGATTCTCCTCCATGGTGTAGTTCAGACTCAGCCTCAGTTTTTGATTTTCTTCCACGGTGAAGTTCAGACTCTGGCTCACTTTTTGATTTACTTCCATGGTGTGGTTTAGTCTTCGGCTCAGTCTCTGATTTTCTTCCATGGAGTAGCTCAGACTCAGGCTCAGTTTTTGATTTTCTTCCTTGGTGTGGTTGAGTCTTCGGCTCAGTTTCAGATTATCTTCCATGGTGTAGTTCAGACTCAGGCTCAATTTCTGATTATCTTCCATGGTGTAGTTTAGTCTTCTGCTCAATTCCTGATTTTCTTCCATGGTGTTGTTCAGACTCTGGCTCAGGTTCAGATTCTCCTCCATGGTGTAGTTCAGACTCAGCCTCAGTTTTTGATTTTCTTCCACGGTGAAGTTCAGACTCTGGCTCACTTTTTGATTTACTTCCATGGTGTGGTTTAGTCTTCGGCTCAGTCTCTGATTTTCTTCCATGGAGTAGCTCAGACTCAGGCTCAGTTTTTGATTTTCTTCCTTGGTGTGGTTGAGTCTTCGGCTCAGTTTCAGATTATCTTCCATGGTGTAGTTCAGACTCAGGCTCAATTTCTGATTATCTTCCATGGTGTAGTTTAGTCTTCTGCTCAATTTCTGATTTTCTTCCATGGTGTTGTTCAGACTCAGGCTCAGGTTCAGATTCTCTTCCATGGTGTAGTTCAGACTCAGCCTCAGTTTTTGATTTTCTTCCACGGTGAAGTTCAGACTCTGGCTCACTTTTTGATTTACTTCCATGGTGTGGTTCAGTCCCATGTGTGTTGATTCTAGAAGCTGTCTCAGCTGACTCCTTTCTTTCTGTAACTGCTTAACATTGATGCTCAGGCCAACAATGACAGTGATTAGGACTAAAAGCAGCACCAGGAAAACGACATGAAGAGTGCCTATCCAGCCAGATTGAAGTCTCTGTATGATTCGGTTATCAATCTCCTTTTTCTCTGTCTCATCTTGATCTGGTCTGTCTTGAAGTCTCTGTATGATGCTGTTATCAATCTCCGTTTTCTCTGTCTCATCTTGATCTGGTCTGTCTTGAGCCATTTCCTCCACAGAGCTTTCAGATGGGAAGCTAAAAGAAAAAGATGAGAAGCACTGAAGATCTTGTTGTAAAGGGTCTGAAAGCTAAGTCTTTCTGTACAATATCTGTCATTCACAAACTGATGTGCACAAATCTGAGACATGATAAATATTGGAAAATTCCAAATACTCTCATTCTCTGAGTCGTCTGAATGAGCTGTATGAATGTCAGCAGTTCTGACCCGACCCAAACTGTTGGTATCTACACAAACAGAGCCTTAACCTCCAAACACATGACTTCATTTCAATAAAGTTAGGGCGCTGTGTACATACTTTATTTCAGTCTGTTAGTATATGACACATTCAATACAAACAAGGAAAAATTTTTCATGTGAATGAAAAGGAGCAGAAAGAAAAAGGTTGAGGCGCGGTTTTATAGAAACACCTTCACACAGGGACCCCTTGAACCGTTTTTTTCTCCTTACCTTAGGTGGACGTGCTGTGGATCCGTCATTTCGCCGTGGGTTTCCTCTGACATGTTTTCCATCTTTGCTTTTCGCTTTCTTCCACGTTTTTACCAGTAGGTCTATGTTTCACTTTGAAATATCCAACTTCAGTTTTTTAAAACTAAACAGTTGATTCAGTTGCCATGACAGCCACTGCAGAGTCGTATTTTTAAATAATTTTAAATAATTTAATACTAATGATTATTAGTATAGTAGAGGCACCTGAACAGCAGCAGAAATAGCCTTGGTTGTGTCTAAATTTAATAATCTTTACATTAAGTGTAGCTACTCGCTGAAAGGTTCAAACGATACCCTGGACAGCTGCTCTACTTCCACTTAGTAACACGAGATGAAAGCCATGATGATGTCATAATGATGTCATCACGGAATTGTTCCTTTGATGCCATATTCTCTTGTTGTTTGTTTACATTTGAATTTTTCACATTTAAATGTAAAAAAAAAAGCACACCCTATAACAATCATGTATTTTTCAAACCTGCTGTTAACCCACATTGATTTGAGCTGTTTTTGTAATAGATGCTTTATGAATTGATATGTATTGATGGGTTAAATAAGAAAACTTAGTATGACACACCAGCTGTTAAACTGAACTTTACAGACGCCATCTTGCCTGTGTACTTCTGTCCATTGTTGAACCAAAATTAAAAAATAGTTCTCTTTAAATGTACAAATCATATTTACTCATGAAGATAAAGTCATTATTGATTATACATTGCAGATATACTTTCCCCTGAACTCTATATTAATCAGTTATCCAAAAGCTTTTCCTCTGCTGATGAAAAGTGAAAACAAGAGTCCTGCAAGGATTAAAACTGACATGGGCCTACTTAACATGCGAAATTCAGAGAAATTTTAGCACTTTTTGACAACAGCAAGAGTAAATCAGAATTAACTCTCATTGGGACACACAAACCCCTCCACCACGGTAAGGTGGTAGCTCGAGGAGGGGGATAAAAACCCTCCCATGGGACGGAAAACCGCAAGGTTTATTTTATCTTTTGTGTGAAAAACACCGGGTTATGGGTGCTTTTGTTTGTTGTTTTTTAATTTTCTTTCCAGTAGTTTTTTTTTTTTTTTTTTTAGAATTTTTTTTTTTTTCCCATGTTGATGTTTTTTTTTTCTTTTTTGTTTTTTCATCAGTTGTCTTAATTTATTTTTGTTTTTGGAGATTTCTTTTTGAAGAGTTTTTTTTTTTTTTTAAGTACTTCCTTACTTACTTCTTCCACTTCTCAGGCTTTCCTAATCCCAAGAATCAGAAACATTTCTTTTTTGTTTTTTAGTTTTCTTAGGGTGTTTTTTTGTTGTTGTTTTTTTTTTTTTTCAGAAATACTCTTCTTTTTCTTTTTTTTAGTTTTCTCTTTTTTCTGCCTGTTTTAAGGGTTTTCGACCTAGGCTCCCTCTCACCCTACCTTAAAGAGGTCGTCACTAATCTGGGAGTTAAATTTGACCCTGATTTTAAATTTGACAAGCAGATCAGCGGGGTGGTACAAAAAAGTTTTTATCAGCTACGCCAAATAGCGAAGGTGAAGCCCATTTTATCAAGACCTGACCTGGAAAAATTAATCCATGCTTTTATCACTACCCGTCTTGATTACTGCAACTCCTTGTACGTAGGGATTAGCCAGGCTTCCCTTGCCCGCCTGCAGCTTATGCAGAACTCTGCTGCACGTCTCCTGACACAGACCCGCAGGCGTGAGCACATCACCCCCATCCTGGCGTCCTTACACTGGCTCCCTGTTCAGTACAGAATTCATTTTAAGCTTTTAGCATTTGTTTTTAAGGGCCTGAACAACCTTGCTCCACCCTATATTTCGGAGATGCTACAGCCTTATTGCCCACCCCGACCCCTAAGATCAGCTGATCAGCTTTTACTGACCGTCCCCAGTACAAGGCTGAAGCTCAGAGGGGACAGAGCATTTGCCGCTGCTGCCCCTAAGCTCTGGAATGAGTTGCCCTTGAAAATTAGACAGGCCTCCTCATTTTCTGTTTTTAAATCCCTTTTAAAAACGTACTTTTACTCATTGGCTTTTAGTACATTGTAGTGTTAATTTGTTTTTTATCATCTTAGCACTTGCCGTGAGCCTCCTTATTTATACACTTATTTATTCTTTTGCATTACTGTATTTCTGCTTGCTTTATCTTGTTCTTTGATTGTTTTATTTGTTTTTATGTGTCACTGTACAGCAATTTGGCTACCCTTGTGGTTGTTTTAAATGTGCTATAGAAATAAAGTTGATTGATTGATTGATTTTTTTTTTTTTGGTTTTCTTTCTTTCTTTATTTTTTTTTGAGATCTCTTTTTGAAGAGTTTTTTTTTTTTTTAAAGTACTTCCTTACTTCGAGGAAGTTACTTCTTCTTCCACTTCTCAGGCTTTCTTAACCCCAAGAAGTGTCTTGTTTGTTTCCAGACTGAAGAAGGTGGTTTGGTGGCATTAGAGGTTGGTGTCTCTGCTGGTCCTGCTGTTCCAACTAGTTCTGGAGATCCAGCAGTCACTTCGATTTCTAAAGCTCCTGCCAGTTCTTCAGCTCCAGAAGTTTCTGCAGTTTTCTCCAACTCCATGCAAAACTGCTCGATGTCCATGTCCATGAAGTCCTGCTCCTGAAGCGTCATCTCACTTTGCCTGATGCCTGTCTCTCGAAGTTGAAGCTCAGTTGAGAGTTCATTTGTTTTTTTGTTTTTTTCATTGTTAAAGCTGGTTTCTTGGGCCACTTTAAGCTCCTTGTTGTCCATCATACCGGCTGTCTGGATGTAGAGCTGTTGTTTCAGCTCCTCCAGCTCAGCCCAGTGCCTCCTCTCTGTTTCAAAAGCTGCCTGCTGCAGAACAGCAATCTTCTCCGTCATGGAGTCCTGTTCGGCTCTCAGGATCTGGATGGTCTGTTCCTGTAAGAGTCCATCATGGTGAGCCTGATTTTGCAGCTCACGCTGAAGGGTCTCAACTTCCTGTTTCGCAGCAGTGAGATCAGTTGCATACTGGAATTTCAGTGCTTGGTATGAGGTTCTTGTCTTCTCCTGTTCTTCATGGAGGACCGTGTTTCTTTCAGTCAGTTCCTGGACTTGTGTTGTGAGCCTCTCATTTTCCACAATATGTGCCACCTTCAGCTCCTCGTAATCGACATGAAGATCCTTCTTCTTCTTCTGCCGGCTCGTGTCCCTCACCTTAAGAGCAATTCTGTGTTTGGAGAGGGTCTCCTCTGAGCTGTACTTTTGAAGCATCTGCAGCTCCTTTTTGAGCTCCTTCCCTTTGTTAATGTACACTTCCTTGAGAGCCCTTTGCCTGGTCAGCTTCTGATGAATCACCTCCAACTCCTGGCTGAGCAAGAGTGTTCGGTTCTTCTCTCTCTCCAGCTGTCCAGTGAGCCTCTGTTGAGTCACCTCCAACTCCTGGCTGAGCAAGAGTGTTCGGTTCTTCTCACTCTCCAGCTGTCCAGTGAGCTGAGCCACAGTCCTGCGGAGTGTCTCCATCTCTCTGTCCCTCAAGTAGAAGGGCCTGTTAATCCTGGGTCGGTTTGTTGGTCGCTGCATTGTCTTTGACTGTTTGTAGTCTCAGAGTTCCGCTGCTAAAAGATTTCGATTGTCTCTTTCTTTAAGTGTAGCTACTCGCTGAAAGGTTCAAACGATACCCTGGACAGCTGCTCTACTTCCAGTTAGTAACACGAGATGAAAGCCATGATGATGTCATAATGATGTCATCACGGAATTGTTCCTTTGATGCAATATTCTCTTGTTGTTTGTTTACATTTGAATTTTTCACATTTAAATGTAAAAAAAAAAGCACACCCTATAACAATCATGTATTTTTCAAACCTGCTGTTAACCCACATTGATTTGAGCTGTTTTTGTAATAGATGCTTTATGAATTGATATGTATTGATGGGTTAAATAAGAAAACTTAGTATGACACACCAGCTGTTAAACTGAACTTTACAGACGCCATCTTGCCTGTGTACTTCTGTCCATTGTTGAACCAAAATTAAAAAATAGTTCTCTTTAAATGTACAAATCATATTTACTCATGAAGATAAAGTCATTATTGATTATACATTGCAGATATACTTTCCCCTGAACTCTATATTAATCAGTTATCCAAAAGCTTTTCCTCTGCTGATGAAAAGTGAAAACAAGAGTCCTGCAAGGATTAAAACTGACATGGGCCTACTTAGCATGCGAAATTCAGAGAAATTTTAGCACTTTTTGACAACAGCAAGAGTAAATCAGAATTAACTCTCATTGGGACACACAAACCCCTCCACCACGGTAAGGTGGTAGCTCGAGGAGGGGGATAAAAACCCTCCCATGGGACGGAAAACCGCAAGGTTTATTTTATCTTTTGTGTGAAAAACACCGGGTTATGGGTGCTTTTGTTTGTTGTTTTTTAATTTTCTTTCCAGTAGTTTTTTTTTTTCCCATGTTGATGTTTTTTTTTTCTTTTTTGTTTTTTCATCAGTTGTCTTAATTTATTTTTGGTTTTGGAGAATTTCTTTTTGAAGAGTTTTTTTTTTTTTTTAAGTACTTCCTTACTTCGGGGAAGTTACTTCTTCCACTTCTCAGGCTTTCTTAACCCCAAGAATCAGAAATATTTCTTTTTTGTTTTTTAGTTTTCTTAGGGTGTTTTTTTGTTGTTGTTGTTTTTTTTGTTTTCAGAAATACTCTTCTTTTTCTTTTTTTTAGTTTTCTCTTTTTTCTGCCTGTTTTAAGGGTTTTCGACCTAGGCTCCCTCTCACCCTACCTTAAAGAGGTCGTCACTAATCTGGGAGTTAAATTTGACCCTGATTTTAAATTTGACAAGCAGATCAGCGGGGTGGTACAAAAAAGTTTTTATCAGCTACGCCAAATAGCGAAGGTGAAGCCCATTTTATCAAGACCTGACCTGGAAAAATTAATCCATGCTTTTATCACTACCCGTCTTGATTACTGCAACTCCTTGTACGTAGGGATTAGCCAGGCTTCCCTTGCCCGCCTGCAGCTTATGCAGAACTCTGCTGCACGTCTCCTGACACAGACCCGCAGGCGTGAGCACAT